CAGTCTTGATATTTTTTTAATTCCCAACTTTGTCATTAAAATTTTTATCATTTAATGCCTGGTGGAAATCTGGAATTACATTAAATATAAATAAAGTATAATTTTTCTGCCTATAAATGAAAGTGATAACTTGTCACAGTGTGGTAATGCGACTTAAAATTTACTCTTAAAAAATAGCCTTAATAATGTAGTATGCATTACGTAAATACGCGTCTATGCACATACATACATACACATACACAACATATGCACCAACTTTACGCAGCCTTCTCGCTTCCTTGGTCGCTGTTATGCGTCATTTGACAAAATACAACTTTCTCTTACCTACATATGTAAAGAAGCCATCTAGGGGGCTTATTGACATAAAGCAGGTTATTTTGCAACCAAAAAAATATTGCATATACGCATGAATACGTTATGCTCCTATTTTTAGATATTTTCCAAGCAAATATGCTATTTTTCCGGGGCATTGCCTACCTCTTTTGAATACAAGGCGTTTTTTCGAAACGGGGATAAGGTGCAGGACTTTTATGTTTACAACTAGTATTTTTCATATGCCGTTTGCGTCAGGAACAATATTGCTCATATCATTTTCAGTTTCCCTCTTACCCTCTATGACATTATTATATTAAATGATACCATATGTGTGTGTATTTGATATGCAATAGTTAAGTATTTAGTTGACGCTTGAAAGTGAAAGTTAAATTGTTCATTAATTTCAAGTAATTCTTATTAATCAACTTTGCATCCCTATTACGGCTAAAATGTACTTTTAGGGTATAAAGGATTATATACATACCTTTCGAAAGGTATTTTGATGCCGAAGGGAATGAACTAATCAAATTTCAAATAAGTTTAATATAAAACGAAAAAGTCGGCCTATCTCGGCAGCCAGTTCGAAAACGTTCTATCGTAGAAAACTCCCTATTTCTCAGAATTTGGTTGAACAACGCCCTATTTCAGAATTCGGTTCAAAAACGCTCTATCTCAGCTTCCGATTCAAAAGCTCCATATCTCAACATATTTTGAATATATTTGCAGTTCATATAGGACGTTTTTAAATCAAATTCTTAAATAGGGCGCTCTTGAGCCATTTTCCACCCAGCCGTCGATATGTATGTATATGTACTGAAGACTGGTGCGCTGAAAAGGGCTTGTCAAGTTAACAGTTTTAATCTAGTCATGTACATACATACATACATCTTATTTCTAAACTGCTGCTTAAAGCATAAACACAGACGGCAGCGTTGATCCGGATAAACTCGGGAATTAACTGCAGTTGATCTGGATTAAGTCCGAGTTAATCCGGATCAACGCTGCCGCCTGTTTAAGCTTTTAGCACGTTTCTGTAATTCAGTATCAATATTGAAGCATACATTTAGGAGGCATTTCCGGCCCAACCATGTACATGTATGGCATTGGTATTGGTGTCCCTTTTGAATTGATTTTCCGCTTTATGTTAAACTAATTTGCAATTTTAAAAGATGACTGCACATCAGCATCAAAATACCTTTCAAATGATATATAATTGTTTATACCTTATAAATAAGTATAGTTTAGCCGTAAAAGGGGTGCCTATTTGTATATATAAGAATATGATAAACGCATTTTGGCAGCAAAGGATGACGAAGTCCTTGATAAGAATTTGGTTTCAGTTTTCGGAATTGGGAACTTTTACAATTAAATAATACTATATAGTGATAAATATTTGATTGAAATTACGATATGGACAAGGTACTTGTATCATACCAGTATGTACGCGTTCCCAAATAATTTTGAAAAAAATGTCCCTTATTTTACATTGGTTAATATGGTCACCGTAGTTATGCTATTATAGGAAAAGCAATAATTTTTTGTCCAATATTTAACAAAAATTTTGAGCAAACTTTAATCACCAACATAATTCTAAACTGCATATACATAAATACACGCATATAAACATATATTTTGTTTTTTTCTTTCCAGTGCGAACCGCGCAAGCAACAGTATAATAACTAAATCTGCGTTGATGCAAATATTTGCAAGTATTTACACACATAAGTCCCACGTGTATGAAAATAGCTGCAAAAATGCAAATGATCACGGTCGACGAATTATTATGAAATTTGATAAATAACATGACAGCGACTAGAAACTTAAAGTGAAAGTGCTCTTTAAACATGTGCACATATGCTTAAGTAAATAAGTTAACTAAATAAATTGGCTCACTCATTTAAAATCAATAAAAAAAACAGAAATGGTGATAATTTAAAATATGTATACATAAATACCGTCGTTTCGCACTACAAATCTATAGAATAATGGCAACATTTTACTGCTAACTATCTGTAAGCCGACAAAAACAAAAGAAAAAAAAAAAACAATTCACTCTCGAATGAGTGCGCATCTACATATACATATATGTATGTACATATGTAAATACATTCAGTTAAAAAGAACTACTCGTAAATAAATATATTTATGTACGTACAAAGTAAGCGAAGTGTAAAATGCTAATATTTGTGCTGCGTTACTTTTTCGTCTATTGGATTTTGCTGGCTAGCAGCGCCAGCGAGGAGACGCTTTTGCATGATTTAAATTTGGCAGTGAAGGATTATCCGATAGCTTCATGCAAATTACATTGCATGCATCATATACAAAAGACACAATATGTCGTTGAGTTGGCGGAGCGGAACAGTAATTGGGTAAGTAAGTAGTTAGTACAAAGTTGATAAGTTAAAGTTTGACGCGTTAAGAAGTTTTTGTTGTGAAGTAAAGCATGCCACTTATTTCATAAATTTTTTTATTAAGATAGACAAGAAATATTACGCTTAATTATCCTTTCATAGTGTGCTGCTTATTTATGTACTGTACATACATATGTATGTATGTAGACTGAAATATAAAATTACATTTTAAAATACTAAAAAACACGCTTTATTATTTTTGAACTAAAAAGTTAAAAATAATTTATAGATATACTTAATATTTAGTTTAAGTGACTTAAAAAGTTCCCTACCTTGATTTAATATAACTTTTTAAACAAACTTAAAAAGAATCAAAGTGATTGACAATAAAATTAATCTTAACCGAAAACAGTGAAAAACTTAGTGAAAGTTCGGGTGAAATCAAACTTTGTATACCCAGGTTTTTTCCCCTATTTTATATATTGTTGATAATATGCTCAATAAGACTTCGGGCTGGTTACTCAAACACTAACTGCAGGCAGTGTTGGCAAAATGTTAATCTAATTAACGATTAAAAATTAGCGATTAAAATGTTAATCGCGATTGACGATTAAAATTAATTAATCGCAATTAACTGTACGTAACTCAAATTAGCTTAATAGCGTAGTTATGCGATGTGTGCTTGGCTATCGAAATATATATTCTCATCTCTTTAAAAGGTGTTACACTAGAGAGCAACTAATTGGAAGCTTACTGTATTGTGGCTACTTCTGCCTGAACTTTAAGTTGATGGAGGGTTCTTTGCAGAAGTTAAAGTTACAACTTTTATTAAAAAAAGCGCTCTATTATTATTATTAAAGTTATTTTTTTACTTTTATTTAATTACTCCTCAAATAAAAGATATTTCTGATTTTTATTTTATAAATTCAAAATAACAATTGATTTTGATTTTCATCTAAATAATCTGCAAATATGTAACAGTTTTTTTCCATTTTTAAATTTTATGTCTCAGATAACAGTTATAGAGGAGTTTTATTTATAAAAGTCAAAAAGGAAAAATCAGTCAGTGAATTTTAGTTTAAAAGTCATCAATATAAATCAGTCATTGACTTTTATTTTTTAAATCATACTTATAAAAGTCATTTGTATAAATCGTAGTAAACTTTTGTTTACCAATACTTTCTTAACTGCGAAAAATGTTAATGACTTTTATACGTATAACTTAAAAAATAAAAGTGGTGACTGACTTATATTGATGGCTTTTAAAAGTAAAAGTCATTGACTGTTTTTTATTGATGACTTTTATAAATAAAAGTCCCCTATAACTGTTATCTAAGACATATAATATAAAAATTAAAAATAACTGTTATTTGCAGATTATTTAGATAAAAATATAAAATAATTGTTATCTTGGATTTATAAAATAAAAATCAAAAATAACTGTTATTTTTTTAATTTTGCATAAAAATTGCAAATAAAATTTTATTTTAAAATTTGATTCTCAATTGGTACGTATCACTTAGTTGTAGAACATTTCCTTCATAATGAAATTTTCAGTAACATTTTTCATCAATAACTGTTATTTGAATACAACAATCCTTTTTCCATATTCCCCTCGTTTTGAAACACTAATCTCTTATTCTATTTTTAGGTCAATCAATATTGTAACGATTACTGTCGCCATGAGAATGCAACAACTTCCTTGCATTCGGAAAAATATCATCAAATACATATCCCTTACAGAATGGCATTAGTATGCCGAGACGACAGAAGCCTTACATTTCATGTCACATACCTAAGCAGTGCTGAAAGTTTAAGTGATGATATTGAAGAAGACGACAAAGAGTCAAGTGTCCCAAAGCCATATGCAACAGCTGAAGACAAGTATAAGAGCATCAAATTAAGAAGTGAAGATGAAGATCACAATGTATACACGATGTCAGTGAAGGTAAAGAATGCAACAGAGCCTCAGATGGAAGCCACACTAACAAATCCCTACGTTGACACCGGACAAAAGCGTCAACCGTCAGCCGCGATTTATATGGTCAAAGTACAAAGCGGTGCAAATGTGACTATTTATGTGGTAAGTGTGGGTGGGTAGTGGCAATGGAAAGTGGGTTTGAAAAAGTTATCAGTTGATGTTGCACATTATATTAGGATTAAGTGCAAGTGGATTAGTGTTTAAAAGTAATTGTAAAAAGATAAATGAAACAAGTGTTTGCAAACTCGAAGTACTTTGTGAGGGTTGTTAGGTAAGTGTGCTAGGGATTTTCGGTATGTCGTTATCACAATCCCAGGACCCCGGGATTAGTCCCGGGATTTAGATATTCATTTCTTTTCAACAACTTAAATCGAAAAAATTGCTTCTATAAAATAAATAATAAATAAATGGGTTTGAAGCCTACTTTTTTATTTGAAATGGCGCTTTTATTTTTTCTTTTTGATTTCCGGATTTATTTTAAAGGACTTTGTAATTTTAAAGATATGTATGATTAATTCCAAAATTATTTAAAAAATTCAATGCAATGTAGAATGAAAATAGAATTTAAAAAAAGTTATTTTTTTTTTGGATTAACAAGGACGTTTAGGTAATTTTTAAGCTGATAAAGTTAAAAGGACGAAATTCTAAAATGTTTTCGAGTTTATATAAGTCTTTAACATAAAATTTTTTCAAAAACAAATATTGGGAAATTTCAAGGATAAAATTTTAAAAGGATACTTTCGATACTTACCAGTCTTTCTGCACGAAAAACTTGAATCTGTTTAAATTCTACAGAATTTCCCTTTTTAATTTGATACCCATACTTCTTCTCTACGCACATTTCTTTTTTTTCTTTTTGAATTTTTTAAATCATTTTTGAATTACTGACGTCAGAGTGAAAAACTATTTGATATTTGTGTTTAAAATTTACTATCACACGGTGTTGTATGTATAATGAGCTAGAAATTTATAAAAAAAAAGTATTAATTATTAAATAAAAAAAAAAGAAATATACTGAATACTGGTCCAGAAAAGGAGTTTATATTATTGCCATCAGTGCAAGTTACAAATCCCGAAAAACACGCGATTATTTGCCAATAATCCCGGGATTTTTGCGACCATAAAAAGACCAGGATCCCGGGAACTCGAGTTTAACATTCCTAACGAGTGCTTATGCAGGCAGCACAGGTATGCGATTTAAAATTACTGGGCAGCAGATGTATAATGAAGAGCGATGTAGTAATGTTCAAAATTTTTAGTTATCTTGTATATTGCTATTTCGGTTAAAGTATATAGGATTTAACTATTTGGTTGCTTTATGATTTTCAAGCTAATACGTTAGTGTATTTTGTTGGATACTTCGTTCTTAAGTAAATGCTAACTATTTAAATGTGATGCCTTAATAATAAAAATATTTTATCGCTTACACTTTTGCTAAGTGTTTGACTGCGCTTCTTCTCCAATTTGTGTTGGGTGTCTTGAAGTTGATACACAAATGGAGGGACCGATGTACATTTTTAAGTGTGATTTCACGTGGACCATTGAAGTCCATACCGTTACCGGAGAATTTACGGCCAAATTATACAAATAATTTCCGGAAAGCAAGAGCAATGTTTAAGAACATCGCAATCCTCTTGTCAAACTGGAATACCTTGTTGCACCCTATTTTGGCAGCTTCCACCAAATTCGGCAGAAAGCTTGCGCCCAAGAGACCAATTCGTAGGCTGCTAAGAGCAGCATAGTCACAGAAAATGTGTATCATTCTCTTTCCAAGCGTTCTGCATATTCTGTAAATTTTATCATTGCCCAGAGACAATTTAAAGGCATGCGAATCCAACGAATAGTTTTCTGTGAGTACACCGCGCAGGAGCCAAGCATCCTGCCTTTTAAGATATACGAGAAGCTTTGTGGCCCATTTAATTATCACTTTGTTCGCTTAACGTTAACGAGATAGATATATACGTACATATCTATATTAGACTGAGTCGCGAAAAATAGTTTTTACTATCCCACCTAGTATGAAAGGAGTTCTTATGCCAGGCAAACCAGAGTTTTTTTCATAATTTTTAAATTTTTATTAGTAGCCCGTTGGAAAATACTTTTTGAGGTAGTATAGCCCTGATTACATGTTGAAGCAGCGTTAAATTGCTGCTATCCTAAAGTGATGTGATTTGGACACTAGTGTGTCTTCCCCTTTCGTTTGGGAGTACAGTTGGGCAGGAGACAGAGGAGGTTGAATTGCGGGCATTAATAATACTCCTTAGTTGCTATCAACGGCTTCCTCGACATTTTTGTTATGAGCTGAGCAAACAGAAATAAAAATGCTTTGCATATGGAAGCTCCGCTTTATTGGGTGGAAGCTTCGACTTTTCTCCAAGCGGAAATCAGGGTATTGCGAGTGCTTTGCTGCGCTCAAGTCAAATATAGCTAGATGAGTTTTCAAAGAACGGTGCGCTCGAGGCGGCCTAACAGAGAATGAAAAACGTCTGTCGACCTGTGGACAAGGGTTAAAAACACAGGCCTCATGTTGCTGGTCGAAAACTAGGGTATGCCCAACTGTAAGATGTTTCTGTCCGAGGCTACACTTAATAGAAAACCACACAACTCTCAACTCTGGTGGGTGGTTGTGACACCCTATGTTCTAAGCCGCCTAGCCTTATGGAGTTTGCTGCGTACTTTTTAAACAGCCTTTTCTCTATAGCGGAACAGTTAACCAGCAATATTTAGTGTCGCAGTGTACAACTGTTTAAGGTTCAAGTGTGGCCCAAGCTTGAGGCAACCAACTTAGGTTAAACTTAAAATTCTTGCATTAGAAAATCAATTTTTTTTACACATTTTTAGCTTTCTATGGAAAATTATAAAATCTATTCATTCCGTTTTAGACAAATTTTCCAAGTAACAATTAAATAAGATAACAAGAGTCCTTGTGCCTTTTAAGGCCCAACATTTCTGTGAAGTTATTCCTTTTCGCGTTACTGATTTATGAGCATATTCATGGGCAAAATAAAGTCGAAATAATTTTCAATGAAATATCTGTCAAAAAAGCCGCAACCGGTTTACAGTTGACCTTATGTCGATTAAGTATATGTGCCATACATTCCAAATATGAACTATATTGGACCAAAGCTGTGAGTTTTTCAAATATCTTGATGCCTGCGCCACCTAGCGGATTAATTCATCTTTCATATTGCATTTCCATCATATTCTGAGCTAAATAAGTTTAAAGTTTGACGACTCTAGCTCATAGGAAAGTTGATTAATGATTTAATTGCGAGGTTTGATTACGAACAGTTGAAAGTAAATAACCTTTGTTTTATTGGGTAATCTGTTATTAACCCGTTAAATACGTATAAGTTCTAGCACTTCAAAAAAATTTAAAATTAAAATTTTTTTTATTTAAAAAGTTGTAACTCCACAGGAGCAGTTTAGTAAATATTAGTAAATTTTAAAGGGTGAAAAAGCTCTAGGTATAAACAAATTTCACTAATAAATTAAGTTTTCTTGCCACTTATTTCTATTTAATTTGCATTTTCTATTCTCTTTTTTCAACAAACCCCCTGTCAGTCAAATGATAACTTCTTCACAATAACTGATTTGAGGAATTCCACCACCTACACCATTTCTGCTGTGGCAGTGAATGCCAAACATGAATATTCCATTGTAGCACGAGCGCAAGAATTCACGACTTTAGAACAGGATTATACGCCTGGCGTGGTGCGTGAAATGCATTTAAAACGGTTTTTGGCGGATGAAACGAGTGAAATGCATCTAATGGCGGAAATTACTTGGAAGCCACCAAAAGGTAGGGGTTAAAGATAAGCGTTTAAATAAATATCTGGTATACATAGTACTTACATATATGCATATTATATCCCTATATATGTAAGTACACATGTACGTATGTATGTACAGTAAATATTTAGTGTTAAGTTTCATAAATGAAAGATATGAAGTCCGAAGCGGACAAAGCCAAAATTTATTTATTAAATTTTCTACATTCTCACCTCTCCTCTCTTTGCAAAAAGACCAAACATGCCACTATATTATACTCTACTTCGATGAGAATCAAGGATCTGATATGATGCCCATGGAAATACGTAATGTGAGTATTAAAAGATTTCAATTTATGCATATGTATATGAAACTGGAGTCATACATACATATGCAAACGTAATATTCTATATAAGTAGCTATTATTCACTAAGCAAACCCTTTATTAGATGAGAATGTTGGTAAGTCAGTATGTGTACTTGTATTTATATGCAGTTTTTTCGGGTACACTGTGCAAAAATTCAAAGCTTTTATTTTAGGGACTCAATGAAATAATCCCCAAAGGTAAGTATCAGTGCTGGGTAGTCAAGCCCCAACGGGATATCGCTCTCCCTTATCAAACATTTCCTGTACAATGGTTCAAAGTTAACACTTTTCTGACCGCAAATTCAATTATGTTAAATGTATAGTTAGGCATACGAAGTTTTAAGAATTTACTTCAAACATAATACAATGCAACAAATTTCATAAATTTGGAGTAGTTGGAAATCGGGCCAAGTGCATTGGTTACCACTTTTTGTTTATGTCTATTTAAAGTTCGAGATCTAAGATCTCAAAATGAAAATTTATAATTTTTCTTTATTGCAAGCTTTTATTCTTCCTTATCCTGAGTTTTACCTGAAAAAAAATTCACCCGAAAATTTGTCATCCGCCCTTAGTAAAACCATGGAAACCAAGAGTGCAAGTGAACCGGTTCGGGGAAAATGAAACTCATGATAAGGCTGATTGTGTTTTACCCAGGGACGTGAACCGGTTTTGAACCGGAAACCTGTTTTTTTCTATTAATTACCTGAACCATTAACCAAACTGAAATTTTTCACAAATTTTTGATCCGAACCGAAAACCGAAGCACTTTCCATAAGGGTTTAAAGGTTCGTAGTGACATGTTTCAACCAATTTTCAATAGATAAATTTACACACCTTTTTTTCTTTTTGTTAAGTATGGTATTACATGCCATGTTTGTTTACCATGTGCCAATATCAAATGTAAAGGCAACCCATCTCATTTGACAGACACTGGACACTTAGCCTTTCGCGTTGTTGCACTTGACACTTGACACTGCTGGGTGGTGCACATCTTTATATATAGAGGCTTTTGCTAACGCGACATAGGGCCGTTTACTCGACTGCCTACTAAAAATTTATGGCCGGTCTGCTTTATCGACTTTTTATCGATCGCGTGTTATAAGCATGTGAGCGACAAATTGACAGGCAATCAAAGCTCCGATTCTCTTTAACAGGCGGTCTAGAAAACGGCCCTTAAAACGTCAATATAGTCCGAAGGTTTTCTTGTTCAAAATGTCTTTGTTGTATCAATGCAGCATTTTTATATGAAAAATTTCACAACAACGAGATTTTTTCAGAGTCCTCAGCAAAATGTTATAACGAGGATTGTTATAACGAGGTTTCACTATATATAAAAAGGCCACTACTGTTTTCTAAGTATTAAAAATATAAAATCTAATAGTTTACCATTATCGTATGTATGTACATACAAATGTAGTATTTATGTATGAGCATTTCTGTGACATTTTGCTAAAACAAATTATTTTGAGTTGAACCATTTTCTCCTTAAAGAAATATTTCATTGGGTTACCAAACAATATTTTAAACATTACCTAGCCATAAGTGTAGTTTAAAAAGGACATTTAATGGAAGCTTGATCTAAATATAAATATATATATTTTTTTAGGGAAAACGTTTTCTGTTTTAAACTTAAGTCACTTAGGTTGTTTTATCAAAATGTCACGATATTTATGTACATATATACTTTATAATTCAACGACTGAAAACTTTAACTTTTTTTATTTTCCGCAACTCTTTGAACCTGGCTACTTTTTCCACATCCTGTCGCAATTTTCCATGAAAACAGCCACGTTACTTATACACGTATACTTTGGAGAATTTAACTTTTTCGGCCGTCTACAAGGTTGGCATACGCGCCAAAAATACGAACAATTCCGTCAAAGAGAGTAAAATGGTTTGGTTCAACATACAGGCCCCATCCTGTGCGGAATGGTACAAATACAATTTCAGCATTTGCCGTAAGTTAAATAAAAAAGAAAAAACTTTTACATTACTTTAAAGCTATCCATGTACAATTTTAGCCGTATTGCACCAAAAGATAAGTGCTTTTACCAAATTTGTGGTTGTGGTTGGTATAAAGAACAAGTAAGAAAGTCTAAGTTCGGGCGGAGCCGAACATTAAATACCCGGCGCAAGTATTAAATATATGTTTTTTCACCTTTCCGAAACCTTCCGCTAGATGGTAAGCCGAGGTGTATCAATTTTGAGTAAATTAGCGTCCTTCAATTTCGAAATATTGAAGTTTCAAGCATTTCTGAAATTTACCGTTATATGAGAAGCGGCCGTTATTTTAGTCCGATTTCAATAATTTTCAACGTTTTGCTTTTATGTGGCAAGCACAATAACCATACCGAGTTTGGTACAAATTGGTAGAACGGTTACCGATATACTTATATGTGATCATAAGTGGGCGGTGCCACGCCCATTTTCCAAAATTTTACCATAAACGTATTTCTTGGTAAAGAATTGTTGCAAGCATCAATTTTGAATAAATTAGCTTCAATATTTAATGATTTATCGAAAATTTTGTATTTCTCTAAATTACCGTTATATGGGATGTGGGCGTGGTTATTGTCCGATTTTAAAAAGTTTCGGCGGTTTTTTATGCTGTACCAGGGCCAACAACTGTGCCAAGTTTGGCAGAAATTGGTGCAGCGGTTACCAAGATATACACATGTAACCATAAGAGGGCGTGGCTACGCCCATTTTCCAAAAATTTATAATATTCTTATTTTTCGTCTAAAACTTATTATAAATATCAATTTTGAGTGAATAATCTCCAGTAGTTACTAAAATATCGCAGTTTTCGTATTTCTGAAAATTACCGTTATATGGGAAGTTGGCGTGGTTATTGAGCGATTTTAAAAATTTTCGGCCAGTTGGTATGATGTGCGAAGGCCAACAACTGTGCTAAGTTTGGAAGAAATTGGTGCAGCGGTTACCAAGATATACACATGTAACCATAAGTGGGCGTGGCTACGCCCATTTTCCAAAAATTTATAATATTCTTATTTTTCGTCTAAAAATTATTGTAAATATCTATTTTGAGTGAATTATCTTCAGTAGTTACTGAAATATCGCAGTTTTCGTATTTCTGGAAATTACCGTTATATGGGAAGTGGGCGTGGTTAACATCCGATTTCGCCCATTTTCAATACCAACCTACCTTGGATTAAGGGAAACCTACATACCAAATTTCGTTGAGATATCTCAATTTTTGCTCGAGTTATCGTGTACACGGACAGACGGACAGACGGACAGACGGACAGACGGACGGACGGACGGACAGACAGACATGGCTTAATCGATTTCTTTTTTCATCCTGATCATTTATGTATACATTTGTCTATATCTATCTCGATTCGTTTTGGCTGTTACAAACAACCGTTATGTGAACAAAATTAATATACCCTTGTGCACAAGTGCGCTCGGGTATAAAAATAAATTGAATTTACTGCCGCATTTATTGGTAAAATATGTAACAATTTATAAAAATTGATAAAATATACAAAAGTTCTATTTTTTTTTGTAGTTATTAGCGCCAGCGCTATTACAAACACTATCTCACTGAAATCGTACGAATATGGCTTCGTTCCCAGTCGGCGAAATGAGGAGCAATTGAAAACAAAAGCCTTCAGGAATTGATTTTTCAATAAGGCCTTCTTTTTGGAAGCTTTATTAGAACTGGGTATATATATGTATGTACATATGCATGTGTGTGTATATGGAGTTGTTAGACATGGCAAGTGCAAAGCCTTTTGAAAAGTCCGTCAAACTCCATCATTTCCAAAAGAGTAGTTACACTTTGCAAGTAAAGTAACTTTCGAAAGCAGTTTTTATTTTCGAAAATCGAACTTTTCAATACTACTTTTGTGACCTTATATCAGTGAAACACTGTTTAAAACATAAGTTAGACCGATTCTGGAATACGGTTCGGTGGTTTGGAATCCAAGGAATCATATTTACTCAGCCAAGATAGAATCAATTCAAAGCAATTCCTACTTTTTGCCTTAAAAAATTTCCGATGGGATTCTCAATATAATCTTCCACATTAAATGTGTCGCTTAAAACTTATTAACGGAAAGGATTGATATAATTTTTATGGTTAAATTCAGTGTTGCCAAACATGGGCTTTTCCTACCAAAACTAGTAGGTTTTTTTTTCCATTTGGTAGATTGGTAGGATTGATTGGGTTTTGGTAGGTTTCGGGACAATGAGTAAAAGTTATTTGCGAAAAATAGAAAATTTGTATCTCCAAATATTTTAGCAACCCTTTTTACACGAATATTTCACCGGAGCGTTCGCATAACGGCGGCCGCAAAGATGTAAATATACCTGACTCCTAAGTACAAACGTACACCCTTATAATTGTCAATATATAATACGAACATCCCCATATCGCCACCTAAGGGTTAAAAGATGCCGAGTCCATTTTTATAAAATTCTTCAGGAGAGACGAAAAATCGATGTAGTTTTGGTATTAACTGCCATTCTGCATAAAAAACTAGACTTTGAAAAGAAACTGGACTTGGCACCTATTCACCTTTAGGTAGCGATATAATTTATGGCTTACTTGGACCAAGATTCCAGAAATGTCTACCATTGGGCTCGTGCCCAGCCATATTCCAGGCGGAGGTCTTCGCAATCGAAGTCTGTGTTGGCGAATGTCATCGTAGAAGGCAAATGGTATGTCTGATATTCAGGTAGCGTTAAAGGCCTTAGAGTCTTTTAAAACGAATGGAATAGGCATACTCAAAATGTTTCTAAGACATCTAATTTAAAAGCTCACAATTTTGATGAAACTTTATCGAATTTCGGTAATTTTTGTACAAAGTTTGATTTACATGGTTTTTTTTTTGTTATATAAGGAGCTACACTTTCATAAAAAAATAATAAACATTAAATAGTCGAAAGGGGAATAGGCAAAGAATGCTAAAATGCTTCTTCCCTATTTACATATATGTACATATTTCCGCCACTGTATCTACAGCTTATATTTTTCATATTCATGAATTTTTTGAGAGAATTTGTATTAGTTTTTACAATCTAACTAATGTCAAATTTCCTTCGTCTGTTTTAGGGAATCTTTAACCATTATCGTAAGATATATTTTATTTGGGTCACCGTAACGAATATAAATGAGAAATATTTATATTTATTAAGAAAACCCATTATAGCAACCAAAAAAAGGTTTTGGTTACCAATAATCATTATCGAAGGTAATTTTACTTTTTGGTTATCGATGACAACTTTTACAGTAAATAGCTAACTTCTAAAGCCTTTTCCAAAAAAGCAAAAAAAAAAATAAATAAATAAAATTACTTTCGATAATGAGTATTGGTAACCAACAAATTATTTGGTATTATAGCAACAAACGCTATTCATAACCAAAACAAAAAAATTATTCTCACTTATATTGGTTACGATGACCAAAATTAAATATATCTTAAATTTATGGTTGATTATAACCATTATTTGAATTAATCAATGGATAAATAAGGCCATTTCATCATTTCTCTTATAACTGTTACGTCCCGGGTTCTTTTTAATAATTTTTTGCGAGAGTACAGGAAGAATTAAAAAGACAAACACTGCAAATCGGGATTTAATCGGTACAAATATGAAGACACTTACATGCCCCGACTTTAAAAAATATTCAGCGGGAAAATTTTCTCAAAATTAGTACTGTACCGCCAAAATCGAGACGAATGGTCACCGTATTTATACCTGATACAACATATATGTATGTATTGTGTGAATGTATTTTAAAAAAAATACCTAAAAAATACCTAAATACCTGCTACCAGGTAAAATATGTATGCTTGAGCAAACTTTGTTTCAAATTTGTGTTTACTTTGTTATCGGAGTCTCGTTTACATTTTATTTTACTCTGCATTCAGGAGAGAGGGCGGTTACTTTGTAGGTACTTATTGTTACACGAGTGTCAAGCTCTTACTTAGTACATGATGAAAGTTAAATTGTGTTTCCAAATTTAGTTCGTATTTCGAACAGATAACAGGAAATAAATATTTGTTTAATGAATTCAATGAAAGCCTTTAGCTTGACACTCAAATTAGTTTGAAATTTCGAATAAAGTTAAGCACTAACTACAAATTAAAAATTACACAATTTCAACTAAGTGGTGATAAGCCTTTATGGCAAGTTGGTTGTAAAAAAATATACACATAAAAACCACTGCCATTCCTCGCTTGATCATCGAGCTGAATTTATTGGAGGTGTTAATGTCTGATACTCGCCAGACAAAGTCCTTCACTACTTCAAAATTGTTACCTGCCAACAGTGACGTGTGGCCTTAAACGGAAAAACACTTTGTTTGTTACCAAGAGGTATTTTGTCGTGTTTGTCATTCACCGCTGGATCAATCACTTTTGCCTCCTTCTCTAAGCTGGAAAATGCTGCGCTGCAGTGGCGTACACTGAGCGAAAAAGATATTAAAATCAAATAGAAACGTAAATGATCCTACTATAAACGTCAACGAAAGTACTGTATATTGTTAAATATTCAATTCAATTATAATAATAATATAGATTGGCGCTTACACATATGTTAGTGTTTGGCCGAGCTTCTCCTCCAACTTGTGGCGTGCGCCTTGATATTGTCACACAAAGCGGAGGGACCTACAGTTTTACGCCGACTCCGAACGGTGATTGTATTTTTATGAGAAGCTGTTTTTCATGGCAGAAATACACTCGGAGGTTTGCCATTGCCTGCCGAGGGACGACCGCTGTTAAGAAAAACCTTTTTCTAAATTTTTTGCGATGTTGCTTTGACCAGGGCTTGAACCCAGGTGCTGGTGAGTGAAAGCGCGCACTGCTTACCACTACACCACAGCGGCCGATCAATTCAATTACGCGCATATTAAAATGACCACATTCGTTCTGAAAAAGCATCCGTGAAGCGAATAATCAAGACAAAAAACTAAAAAAAAAAAATATTTAATTTGCATCGGAAAAGGGATGCAGCGGCGGGATTGTTTACTTTACATAGATATGTATTTGGGGGCTTTTTCGTTCAAATGCACTTTTATTCTGCACTTCGCAGATGCTTTTTCATTGCTTGGTAATACAAAACCAAAATTCGTGTTAACATCTTGGAACCGTCTGGAATCTAACCAATACCAGCGAGCGCCTCTACAAAGTCACCTGCAGCCAAGCGTACATTTCTTACAATCATTCCAACATATTTAATTTCAAATTGGAAAAAAAATTCATTGAAAATAATTTAAAATCGCACACGGAAAAACCGAAAAGATAGACAAATTTTGATACTTTTTTTTCTTTTGTCTGTCGATTTTAGAACTGGTTCGGAACTATCGAAAAAGGGATGCAGCGGGGGGGCAATTGATACTTCCTAGGACATCGCCATGTTAAATTCGCCAGTTCTTTTCATGCAAAAGAGATTTATCGCGAACCAGTACTGGGCCTAAATGCACTAGAAACGCACCAGTTCAGAACTAGAGATTTTTCTCCCAGAGTATTTACACTTACATATACATACTCAGATGTGAACAGTCTATTACGTACGTAACAAATTTTTGTATGAAAATATTATTTTTAAATACGAACATTTTTAAACGGTAATGAAATATAAAGTATTCATTTTTTCTATGCATTATTTCCCTCAGTGTAGATAGCTTCGTAACATAGGGAGGGGGAATATATGAATAAATGGGATTCAATATTCCATATCGGCTTTCATTGTGTTGCACCAATCATTCTAATGATCTAGCTACTGCTGTGCTGTGTATTTGATGGTTAATAAGCCGATTGTGAGAAATTTGATTCAAGTTGAATATTTGAGAACAACTTCGTATGTAAGGCAGTGGCTGAACGTGCAGAGGTGCTTGCTGTCAGCGTATTGTCAGCGCGATACATAAGTTAAATTTTTTAATTTTTCGGTTTTTGGTTTTCCTTAATGACGAAAAAGCCTCTGTGAAGTGCAGAACCAAATAAAACGACGAAGAAAATTTATTCAAGTTGAACATTTAAAGACAAATTTATAAAAGCGGCTGTAGCTGAGTGTGTAGAGATGATTGCTGTTATATGCTAATCCCGTCAGAGACAACGTGCTAATATGATTATAAAAATTTTTGTTTTGTATCTCCGAATTATGAAAAAGCACCTGTGAAGTGCAGAGCATAAACGTATTCAAACGAAAAAATCGACAACCAAAAGTTTGGTTTGCAAATACATATCGTGCATCGTGAGCGCTATAAATGCGGCGTACATGTGCGTAAATGAATTTAAAGGTAATTATGTATGTACATATGTATTCTTAAACCTCCATAATTATATCTATTTATGCAGGATAAGCCTTTGTTGGAAATAAATCATAGCTACTCAATCAACTATTTATAAATTATCACAATATTCAAATGCTATTAACACACATACATATGTTGCTCGTATTTACATATGTATGTTGTAATGATTGCTCCCTACAGGAAATGTATCTATAAGTTAACTTGAAGTTAATTAGGAAGGAACTAAAATTCACTATTATCTGTATATTTTCTTGGAGGAAAGCTGACTAGTATATGTATTTGTATGGCGCTGGTGCGAAATAGTCAAGGGTGGTTACCTCTGTATTAGGTGTCAACTAACTACTTTTGGACATAAAATATCGATACAAAAAGAAATATTTTTTCAATTTTTTTTTAACAAACTACCGATTACGCATTGCATGACTCCTGCATTAATTTTCAGCTGGTTTCAAGTTAGCTTTTTGTAGTTCACTAAAAGTTATCGAAATTCCGCAAAAAAGCTAACTACTGCAAATGGGATATTTTTTCTGCAGGGTTCTTTTTACGTCAATTCTAGTGTTCCTAGTACTTACGCGTCAATGCATTAATATTGGCTGATGGCTATTATTTAAGCTTTGTCCTGCACATACTCTATTTGTGAACGCCGCTGGTTGACAGAGTTCGGATCTGTCAATGATGATGGCTAACTGATGGTTGTATATTGGCTTTTCGTGTATACGAGTACAGTAACATAAATACATGTATGTACATTAGACTGCATCACTCCCCATACAAAAACAAATCGGTACTGTGTTTCCATTGGAATGATGAAATATTTCATATTTTAAGACTTGCACTAAAATATTTCGGAAAATATTACGATTTGCGTGAGCTGGACCAATTTAAAAATACCTCCAAAAATCTAGTTTTTTATGAATAAAAATTGTTTTTTAAAGTAGTTTTTGAAAAAAAAAAAATCACTTCACGTGGCAAAACAGTTTAAGCTTATAAGATTTGCATAAAAACATAAAAACAACAATTTCTACGGAATCATAATAATGAGATTTTCAATGTTGTTTTTGAACTTTTTTCAAAGATTGGTTTAAGAAAACCTTGAGTAACTTATCCAACGCTTTACCGATTTAGACTTGTGAGGTATCATTGGATTGTATTTTTTCACAAATAAACCCATTTAAAGTATGAAAGAGAAAGGTAACATGAACGAGCGTCGATCGCAGTTGAGTTAAGATGTGTTGATGATTGAAAAAAAAATTGGGAAGCGAATGAGTCTGTTGCCTTTCCACTGATACTACATAAGTGAAAATCTGAATAGTTTTGGCCCAGTTATTCAGAACTTTCTTAAACCAATCTTTGAAAAAAGTTAAAAAAACAGCATTATTACGATTCCGTTGAAAAAAAATTAAATATTTTTAATTCCCTTTATTAAACTTAAACTGTTTTGTCATCTGAGGTGATTTTGCAACATTCTCATCTCGCCTGGGTAAGTCATACGCCCTGTATGTACCTCCGTTCGATTTAAAATTTTCCGTGATAAATGGTAGACCAAATATGGATCCGCCATTTTGAATTTTTAAAATTTGATTTCGGACTCATAATCAGCGGCCTAAAGAACCGCCAATTGTAAAGTTTTAAGCAGTGGTGCCAACTTTTGATTTTCAAAAAGCACCAAAAACTTGGAAAAAAGCGTTTTACCACACTAAAAGCACCAAATGGTTTTGAATCAATGGACGCTTTTTTCATAACAGTTTGTATGTATTTAACAAAAACAAAAAATTAACAATATTTACAAGAATGCATACATAAATCAATAAACAAAACCTTTTTGCTCATCTCGATTGTATGGCCTCTACGCATGCTATAATGACTCATGCTTACGACGTAATACCGAAGTACTGCACATTAAAACTGATATATCTCAAGAAAGAAAAATCGAGTCCCAACAAACGAAAATCATGCCCTAAGTAGAAATGAGCAAAAAAAAATGTATGTTTTCATTATATAACCTCAAATAAATATCGCCAAAAACCGTGATTTTGGCACTTTGAGGTTGGGATATCTCAAAATTCTAGTGCTAAAGCAATTGTTCGGCCAGATTTGGATTCAGCACCAAGAAACGATGTGTTTTACTCAGGTGGTACAAAAATTTTTACAAATAATTAGAAAAGAAAAAAAGAAATACTTAACTTACTCGCATATCTACTAAGTCATGGTTGTATTTAAGTGCATTTAAATTTTTAGATTTTTGTAAATTCAGTGCTGCCACAGCTTTAAATATTAAAAATTATTTCAGGTTTTAACTATATCGGAGTAATTTTAGTTCAGAAAAAAAAACACTAAAAAAGGCACTAGGCACTACATAATTTTTTTTGTCGTTTTAAGTTTCAAAAAGCACTAAATCTAGTGCTTAAAGCACCAAGTTGGCAACTATGGTTTTAAGCGCATCCAATCGATTTTGAATTTTTTGTCCACCATATTGGATCCGTCATTTTGAATTTTTCTAATCCGAATTCAAATTCGTAATCAGCGAACCCGATAACTAACGCATAATGAATTCCAAATGAATCCGGTAAATTTTTAAAAAATCTTCAGCCATATTGGACCCGCCTTTTTGAATATTAAAATTCTAAAATATTAGAATCCGTCTTGATCTAACAACTGACAACTGTTTTACCAAACTGAATGACAAGCTTATTTGCGCGTTTACGGACATGACGCTTGCTAAGAGTCGTAGCATTTACATACGTAACCCTGAATTTTCAATTCTGCCACGTCTTGTTTGGTGCATTATAAATTTTGCGAGACTTCTGATATGCTTTACATTAATTCGTATCGTATGGAATTTTGGGCAGAGCTTTGGTCCGTTTGACATGGAATGACCCATACATATATATGTATACATTATATAATTTTCAACTAGGCAACTGCGTCGTATTTAAGGCGTATAACATGAAGTGATGCCTATGCTTCGAGTCTTACTATATTTTCAGCATACATGTCAAATGCGATGTGCTTTGGGATATGGTTTGACGGTATAAGTACTCTGTTTGTACATTTTACACTTCACTCTAAAAAAAAAGTTGTGTAGATTTCCTACCTAAAAGGTAGGTTACTGATTTCCTACCTTATTATTCGCGAAATTACATGCTCGATTATTCAACGAATAGTTTGTTTAAATTTCGGACTTTTTAGAGTGTAATATAACTGCTGTGGTGTGCGTAAATTTACTAAGAAAGTGTGTACAAGCTACAAAATACACATCTGCTGTTTGATTTCACCCTTAGAATTGTATAAAGCCACTAACAAAAAGGATTTTTACACACGAAAATGTGTGAACGAGAAAAATACATATTCATCGTGTAAATTTACCAAAAAATTTTAAAAGTAAACAAAAATATACTCCATTTATAGTCGCGTTTTTAAACAGATTTTTTAGAGTGTTCTTGTTGCTGCTAAATTTTCCTGATTATTTTTCTTCATCTACAATCGTTGAAAGTATTGATACAATATTACTAAAAATAAATACATTTTACAATGTCATCAAACAAATTGAAATATTGATGCAATTTTAAATAACTAGCATATAATTTCTTTAAACAGCGCCTTTTACACCTAAAGGATTGAAAGCAAATCGCAAATATATACGGGAAAATACATACGCTTTAAATATAACTTGGCAAAGAGCTGAATATCCGCTGAGCTACTATATGATAATGGTCGTGGATCATATAGATGGTGGCCGAGATTATACTTTCAATGTTGATAAGGTAAGAAAATATTTTGATGAATTTATGGTAAAGTAATTGTACATAAAATGTAGAAACAGGAAACAAATGTAAATGTAAATGTAAAATGTAGAACAGGACAGGTATGTATGTACGTATGTATGTACTTAAACATGCTTACATACACCTCCAAAGAAATAACAACAGCAGTAGAGCAAGTTTGGTAAATGCTTCGAAATTCGTCCCTAGTTTTCGGGAAGTAAGTTTAAAGTTTATTGAAAATTTCAGCTCAAGTGAAATGAGAGCTCGTAAAGTACAACAAAAATATGTAAAACTACAGATGAGTAGCTCTTTGTGACTTTTTTGTAACACAAAATAAAAAAAAAAAATATTAAAAAAATAAAAAAATGAGAGCACGGCGTCTGGCAAAAGCCGCTCTTAAAGATTTTACCAAAAAAATTTGATGACAAAAGTTTTTTGAACATTTAGAATTTTCAAAGTAATTTTCCCGTTATCATAATGTGCGGCCCTGTGCCGCGGATCAGCAGTCGCCCATGCTTTAATCCGGCCCTCACAAAACATATAGCAAAAGCAACAATTTTTGCAATATTATTTATTAAAAAACATTTTGAATTGTGTCAGATATTTCATTATGATATTCTATACATACGTAATTATATGCAAATATATTAATTTTAACCCATTCACGAAATACATTAGGGGTATTCAAGATCTGGTGCATACTGTATAGCATGGTGCATAGCTAGCATAAATAGCTATGATTGGCTAATTTTGTTGTTGTTTGAACACATGAAACAACAACAAAATTATCCAATTATTCTATTTATGCTATCTATGCACCCTATGCACCGAATCGTGAATACACCTATTATAAAGTTAATTATTTAATATCTATTGTAATTTGAATAAGTAATTAAATTAAAACCACAAGCTACTATAAAATATGCATATAATACTTATACATACAGATGTACCAAAATTTATTATGTATTTCCATTTTATAAAAGGACGCCTGTATGTATTTCATACCGGAAGTGGAACTGAACGGTACACTGTTTGATGTGCATTTGGTCGCCTTCACGCCTGGTGGCAATGCAAGCGCTGTCCTACAAGAAGCCAATAGCCGCACGGTGCTGCTGCCAGGTAAAATAAACAACTAATGATAATTATCCACTGAACTTGTTATTCGTTTGTATGTGCAATTAAATATGAGCATTAGATTGTAAGGGTCGTTCTTTTACAAATTGTACTTAAGCTTTTTCAGGCACTAAATGGGTACGATACGATAACTAGAACCAAAGATATTGAATTTTGAATATGGCAAGCTTCGGTAAAAAATCTAAAATTTAAACCTTCATATCTCTGAAAATAAAATTTGTTTAATGAATTCCTGATACAGGTGTCGACTAAATTTCCGAAGGAATTCCTAAAAAAAAGTTTGGTGTTATTTATCGAAGTGATTTTTTTTTTTGTGAAATCCGTACGATTTTTAACAGAACGACCCCGACCCATATAAGGATGTAGGCTGAAGAAGACAACATCAATGTCCACATACATATGTACATATTTATAGATTTCAAAGTGTCATTGCAAATATATTCCTGAACAATTCAGCTTATAAATAATGTGATTTTGAGTTTGGAAAATCCCACGATACACCATCCTCTTCAATTTCATACTAAACGAATATTTTCCACTAACTAACTAACTATTCTGCGTTGGTAATTTTGTTACCGATAAATAAAGTTCCTGGTAATTTTCCAACCCTTTTGACATTCTGTGCACTGGTACATTTTTGTTACCATCTCATAAGCAGGTAACAAAATATTGCCCCGTGAAGTATGCGACACCAGAATTTATACAAAACTTCATTGCTGAATAGATTAAATTGTTACTTAGAATTTCTGCTACAAGAAGACGGGTTATTTTTTTTGGTAACAAAATTTTCCGGTGTCAAAACGTTCGGTAACAAGCAGAATACGCCCGTTAGTCTAACTAATAAATACAAAGAGCCAACTAAACGTCCAAGTGAATTTATCAAAAAGTTAAATTTTTTTTATTGTTTTTACTATCAATGCTTATATGTACGTTGGTGTATCCCAGAAATTCGATAAACATACCATACATTGCGTAAGTCTGGAGGATGTAAATAGGCACCGATACCAATCTATTTTGTTGACAAAGGACGGAACGGCTGGCGCATCTATGTAAAATATATTCTCCATCTACGCTCCAGACGGCATTATAGACATTCCTGGACATTTACATACGCACATGCATAGGTTCATACATATGTATATGTCAGTATACATAGCAGTAAGGCTATGACTGTCAGATCACGGAGATCTTTAACTTCGAAGTTACCGAAGGGATTGGTAATCCATCCATCTTAAACAAGGACGAGACTACAAGCTTCACACATTCCAAAATATACGTCAAAACAACATCTGGCGTCATGAGGAACTGCAACCAAAATTCCTGACCTGAAAAATTGTGAAAAATTCCAGAAAAGTTACCAACATCTGGTGAACTAAGTTGAGATTCCAGAGTAGCTTGCTGTCGGAGTTAATCCTGAATGCTTGGTCTTATTTTTGAAATTTAGACTGGTACCATTTGGTTGTGCTGTTTAGTAGCTTTTAAAAGCTCCCTTTCATGAAAATTTTCCACTTTTTAGTCAGATTTTTTAGAATTTTTTTGAGTATGCAGATTTGTAATCGAATCAATTTGCAATATTGCAATAAAGTACACGATCTAAGTAGCTAGGAATTATCGTTGATTTTTGGCTATTTTTTTTTTTACGCAGTCAATTCCATACAAAAAATCTTTTCGAAAATACTTTACTTGGAAAAAATGCAAGACACCTTCCATAAAAAAATCTCAAAAATCAATGCGATTTTTTACTAACTCAGAACTTTAAGTTTTTTTACTAGAATTTAATGGGCTGCAAAACTGCAGACTCGAAAATATTAAAAATATTAGAAATATTAAAAAGTTCAAAATTTGCGTAAAAATTTTCTGAATTTTCGAGAGTTTTGCACAAAGTTTAGGAATTAAATTTTTATGTTTTTTTTTTGTTGTAGAATGAACCATATTTTTATAAAAAATTGGCGGAAAAATATTAGAAAAAAAATGTATGCATGTATTTTGAAAAATTTGCTTTGCCAATACTTTTTGCCGGCAGTGTACATACATACAAAGAAAAATATATATGTATGAAGATGGTATGCTTAACGAATTTCGACCAAAATAAATTACGTATGTTAAGAACTATTCTCTCAACATTGTGTTTTCATTTGCTACTTATTAGCTTATTTCTTTCGTTTCGTTTTCTACTGTAATTTTTTCGGTTTTAATTTCGTTTAACATTTGTCACATTCATAGATTTTTAATTGTTTTTCTTTTTTTCATGCTACGTGTTGTACATTGTCTCTTTTGTTTGTACAACGAAAGACAAGAGCCAATCTATTGTGAAGTTAATTCTCGCTGTGCTAACGCCAATCTTCTGTGCTGTCATCCTGTCATTAGCGACATTCATTGTTTGTCATCGTCGGGCAAAAATAAAAAGATACCAGGAGCGTTGCAAGTATTTTGAGGTAAGTAGAACATTGCATACTAATACCTATACAAGGACACATGCACATACACTCAACAGAATATGTATCGGTACAGTGTTTTTTTTTTTAAATATGTGCAATGTTTTTCGTAATAATTTTTTTTCGATAATTTTTAACAGAAATATAGTTCATTCTGCATCAAATGGCATATAAATTAATAATTCAAAGTTTTTACAAAAATCAACAATAGAATACAGCCACTTAAAACTTGCACTTCATTATGCTGAAATTGAGCTACAAAACTGCATACTCAAAAAAATCAAAAAAAAAAAAATATTTTGTATAAAAGTTGAAAATTTGTCGAATTATCCTAAATTTTATAAAAACTTTGAATCACTAATTTATATACTATTTGATGCGGAATGAACTATAAATATTTCTATCAAAAATTAACGAAAAAATTTATTACGAAAAACATTGCGAATATCAAAAAAAATCACTGTACGGAAACATATTCTGGTGAGTGTACATATGTACATAACTAGTTACTATGCATAGCTGGCTGCTGGGGAGTAGTGGTTAGCAGTGCGCACTACCATTACGCAGGGTCGGAGTTCGAGCCCAGTTTCCAACCAGCATCAAAAAATAAAATAGAAAAAAGTTTCTTTCTAAAAGCGGTCGCTCCTCGGCAGGCAATGGCAAACCTCCGAGTGTATTTATGCCATGAAAACAGCTTCTCATAAAAATACAATCGCCATTCGGAGTCGGCGTAAAACCGTAGCTCCTTCCCATTTGTGCGACAATATTAAGGCGTATGCCACAAATCGGAAGCGAAGCTCGGCCAAATACCAACATATAATGTAAGCGCCAATTTACTGTTGTTATTATTAAGCGGAAGTGGATGCTAAGTAAATAAATTATAAACTGAACAAAGCTTTTACCCCCACTTACTTATTTAGGCCCATAGGTAATTTGTTTAGTTGGTAAGTGTGTTTTTATCTATGTATGTATGTACATAGTATGTGTGAATAAAATTACATATCGACTGCTGAATGGGAAATCGACCTCTTTCGTCAGCCAGTTCGAAAACGCCCTATCTCAAAAAACTTTTCAAAAACTCCTCATTTCAAGATTTGATTGAAGAACGCCCTATTTCAGAATTCGATTCAAAAACTCCTTATCTCAGCACATTTTCAATATATTTTGAAGTGTGATAGGGCGTTTTTGAACCGAATTTTGAGATAGGGCATTCTTCAACCAAATTCTGGCATAAATAGGGTGTTTTCAATAAAATTCTGAAATAGGGCGTTCTTGTAAAGTTTTTTGAGATAGAGCGTTTTCAAACTGACTGTCAAGCTAGGTCGATCTTCCACTCAGCAGTCGATATATAACCTATAAGTAAATACTTGTGCAAAAACTACGCTTAGAATTTCTTACTTTATTGTTTTTTTTTTCTTTTCTGAACCTAAGCTTTCCCCGTTAGCACGCTTTTTAGTCCTTTCTCTTAGATTTCAGGAGTCATGCTTTCGTCAAATTTAATATTCTACTCTTATGGCAGCTCTGTGAATTCAAGAAAAAGGAATTTTAAAAATACTAATATATTGGACAACGAAGGAGAAGTTCTTTTACAAGAAAGTATAAATTAAGTAAGGACGAGGCGTTCAATGATCTGTTCTATGAGCCTAAGTGACTTTGGCCTAGTTCAACAAAACACGCTAGTCGTTTCTCTTCCGTGGCAACTGACGCTAATTGCAAATGCCAAGTGTAAGTAAAGTCCTTCTCCACTTACACTGCTACCACCAGCGGGTATGATAAGTGACTTATAGATTGTTGTTTTCCTACGTCGAGAGAGAACTTTACTTCTCAATTACCTTCTCAGTCCGAAGTAGCACTTGTTGTTAAGAGTTATTATTTGTTGAGTTTTGATGCTGACATTATTATCGGTGTTGTTGCTGGTTTCCAAGCAATATTATAATTGTCAACAGTGACGTGGGTGCCAAGGCGCGAATGTGCTAACTGTTTGTTTGATGACAGGATATACTTCGTTCTGTTCCGATTCACCACCAGACCCAATCACTTTGCTTCATTATCCACCTAGGAAAAGGCAGAATAGACTTCGCGGTTTTTTGTTACCGATGATGTCGTTGTCATCGGCCTAAGCCAGCAACTGCACGCTCTTGTAGTAAATTGTCCCTGAGCGGTTCAGTTCTGCGGCTCTTATTATCTTCTCCAACAAAAGATTAAAGAAATCACAAGAAAGGGAGTCGCCCTGTCTGAAACCACGTTTGGTATCAAACGGCTCGCAAAGGTCTTTTCCAATGCTGACGGAGCTGATTGTATTGCTCAACGCCATTTTAGACAGCCATATCAGTTTCGCGGGGATGCCAAATTCAGACATATCGACGTATAGCCAACCTTTTAGTGCTGTCGAAAGCGGTTTTGAAGTCGACAAATGGATGGTGAGTGTCGATCCTTTTTGTCGCGGGTCTTTTTCAAGATTTGGAGTATCGTGAATAATTGGACTATGGTGAACTTGCCAGGTCTAAAACCACACTGATAAAGCACAGTAAGTTCCTTGAAGGTGGGATCAGTTTTTGCTTAGAAGGCCGATCCCGCCGTAGTTGGCGCGTATGGTGGGGTCGCCTATATTATGTATTGGGCAGAACACACATAAATTCCAGTCATCGGGAATGCGTTCAGATCGTCAGCTCCCACAGCTTTGTTGGTTTTCAGGCGCGTGATTACTATTCGTAGTCAGGTAGTAAAAGACCGATTCCGTCGTCATCGAAAGGGGGCTCGGATTCGACTTTTCCCCTAGTGCTCAGTGCTGTTGCCATTCAATAGGGTGGAAAAGTATTGCCTCAATTATATAAGTACCTTCTGAACATCAGTCACTAGGTCACCATTGTTGTTCTTACAAGAGTTCGCCTTGGTCTTCAAACCTTCCGTTCAAGTAGGTTTTGTGTATATGTATACATAAATATGTTTCAATGTAACTGAATTCTAGAAAACTTTTTTAATTTAACACAAAGCCAGCGAAACATAACTACTCTGTCCGTTTTTCACTTCCTAAGCTTCGTTTGCTAAACACGTAATGAAGGTCACGAGGTGAATGTTGGGCATCAACTTTTATGTTGTTATCCTTTCAGTTAATTTAGTTTAGTAGTTTGACGCCCATCCTGCTTATCTGATGACTGGCGTGCAAGGTGAAGACGGAACATTATTATTTACATATACATACTACATACATAGAAATGTTTCAACCACATGCTAGATTCGCTCGTCGTCACTTGATTGAAATCGCATTTGGCACTTTTGTGTATAACCCATACCATTTCCATTATTCTTATTAAACAATGGGAGAAAATTATTTAAGACAGTAAGTATCGATTAAAATGGAGCAAATTTGTCGGGAATTTTGGGGAGTTGGCCTTGCAGAGTTGGCATCCTTGACAGCGGCTTTTTATATTTTTATTTTTGAACAGGAACCTTTTGTGGATGCATTCATAGCTAGTCCTATCTGTTTGTTTAATGAAAGCGTCGTCTCGAATTTGGCGAGCAAACGGTAGGATTGACTTTGAAAAACGTGCTTTTGACATTTTTGAACCCCTATAACTGCCATAGTTGAATACAGAGACGAAATGGATATTCGTACAATATAAAAAGAAAGCTTTAACATAGGCCTCTTGGTTTTAATAGGTTTTGGCTTACAATTTTTTTTTGCTTTTTGTAGCATTTAGAAATCTACAGCCGACCCAAGTTAGCCACCTGCTTGCCCGTCCCTGAGCTATGGTGTAGCTACACATATAATGGACATAAATGTGTATGTGTATGTATCTCTTTACCTTATAAATTGATTGAGTGTAACAGCATTCGGCAATTAATTAGCAAACGGAGCACTCATCGTAGTGTTGCATAATTTAATTTGTTTAGCCTACTTAGACATTGGCGATATTCAGTTGGATAAACACAATGACAGCAATATTTTACACACACACACACACACACACACACATTTAGTCAGTGCAAGTTGGCACTTAATTAGTTTTTAACACTTATGTAGATGTGTGCTTTGATTGAAATACGAACCCAATGAATGGATATGACGCATCTTAATTATACTACCCATATGTACATTAGGGTGGTCCAAAGAAAAAAAGTCGGAATTTTAATGCCATCTTATTTTTTTTTTTGGAATTAAAATACATATATTTAGAGGACCGTTAGAGGTTCGTAGAAATTGTATATGTAGAATCCTTGAATTTCTTTATTTTTCAATCGGCTTAGGGTACGTTTACACAGAAAGCGGAGTGAAGCTTTTAAATTGCTTTAGCTGTAGGCATGTGTTCAAACAGTAAGCTTTTTCACAGGCGTTTTGAAGCTGAAAGCAAAGCAGTTTTTGATTTTGAATTTTCTATTTAATTTTTAAACTGCATGACGCAGTTCCAAACAAGATATCAAAATACATACATATTCAAATAAAAACTAATCTTTTGAATAAAATTGAGCAAATATTGTTGCGAAGTTTTACACCGACTACGGACAGCGATTGTATTTTTATGATAAGCTGTTTTCTATGGCTGAATACATTCGGAGATTTGCCGTTGCCTGCCGAGGGGTGAACGCTTTTAGATACAACCTTTTTTATGTTTTATTTTTTCGATGTTGGTCGGAGAGTAGACTCGAACCCAGTACCTGCTGAATGGTGGCGCGCACTGCTAACCACTACACCACAGGGGCCGCCGTACCCAATAATTTACTTAACCACTTTAATGGGGGCCATACAAATCGTTAATATTAAAAAATGGTTAAGTAATTTGAAATCTCCTGAAGCAAAGCAGAAAAATATTAATAATAATATATTATTTCAATGAAAAATAGTTTTTTTCCACATATAAAGTACCTTTTAACGTTTGAGCAAGCTCTAAATATATTTTGATTTCAACGACAAAGGGTATATTTTTTCGATATAGAACCATCATAAATTAAAATTCCGAACTTACTTGTTGGTCGAAAATGTTGACGCACTTATCTTAGAAAAAGCATTATCTTCAGTTTTGTATAAAGAGCAAGATTGCAACGCGTAAATAATTGTATTTAAAGGGACATTTTAAAAAGATATGCATATGTATGTACATACATAAACAAGTAAAAATAACCCCTCATGCTCATTTACCCGTAGTTGGGCATGTAACGTATACGCCCCGTAGCGCCATGTGCAGTCAGCTAACGCGTTTACGCGCACGCCTAAAATTAAAAGTTATATTATTTAAAAGTAATTAAATACTAGCGTGGAAGATTTTTACCTTCCTCATGTTCACATACAACAATTTTAGCATGAATTTCGAGTTTGCCAATTAAAAGTGTAAAAATGGAATTTTAGTTTCTGAAATCATAGTCATTTTTTACTCAACGTATTTTTTTTCATTTTGTGACACACTGGTTTTATTACACTAGATTCCTTCATTTAAGCAATAAGAACATTTTTACCGTTTAATTTTTAAGATTTTGGAGTATCTAAAATTTTTTGAAAATTAAAAAAAATATTCTGCATGCTTCCATTTGTTTTTAATTTCGTGATACACTTGAAACTTCACAGATAAATTGTATTTGTTGCCAACGTTCATTGCCTCTAAAAAATTATTTAAAAATAACAATTAAGATTTTTTCGAGTGGCAATGAGAAAATTAGTAATTTCGGTACTTTTTCGCCTATGAATGCTTTAGCGTTTCTTTTTCTGGCGAGAGAAGGAAGTGACATTAAAAAAAGCATTGTAAAAAACAACTCGTGAGATCTGCTCACATACACATACTCACATTTTTAAACTGCTATTCAAGCGTAGTCGAGTTCATTTTTGTAAGCACATATTTTCTTTGATCGAATTTACTCGTAATATGAAAATTGACAGAAGCGAAAACATGATGCTATTATGTATTACTTATTTCATGGCGACTTAATGGTATTTTTTCCATAATTTTATTTATAGGATCTGGAGAAGAAGGCCCCCATCGATCCAAAATCAACCTTTGATTTTCCAACAAAGAATTTACTCACCTCCCCAGAAGACTTAACGCTATTTCAATTGGATCTCGAAGAGAAAATATTTTTTAATGATGCCATGGAAATCGACTGTAGCAATGTTACGTTGCATGAAATACTCGGCGAAGGTGCGTTTGGTTTAGTGCGACGGGGCACTTACAATGATGGAAAATCGGAGGCACGTGAAGTGGCTGTTAAAATGCTGAAAGGTATGCTTAGCTGGGCACTTATGTATGTACATATGGATGTATGTAAATGTAAGTTATTATGATGTGCTATTGATGGTACATATTTTGACATAAATGTCCTTAATAAGTAAAACGTTTTGTTTTTCTTGCTAAGTGAACGCATAATAGATTATTTGTAGAAGTACATAAATTAAAGCAGCCGACTTTAAATTCGCACACATACATACATACATACATGTAGTTATTTTCTTTTCCATTTCAATCTCCTTATGGCCACGCGAATAGATCGGCCAACTGTCGATGATGTACGTGCGTTTCGACGTGAAATTGAAGTAATGAAGTCGGTGGAACCGCATCCGAATATTGTTGGTATAATTGGACATTGTACGAAGCGTTACAATGAATTGCTTTTGTTAACGGAATATTGTAGTTTCGGCAACTTGCTGGATTTTCTAAGGTAATTACTTGTATGTTTAATTAGTCGTGCTATTATTATTTTTTTGTTATAATCAATATTCTATAAGCAGCCATTTTTATGCCTTAATTTGTGTTTATTGTATTTTACTCAGAGGAACTAACAGGCATTTATAAAATTTTACAATCTAATACTTATAATTTTTTTATTTGCTAGTGAAGCGAATAAGATTATTTACGGCAGGGAAACATACATATGCATTGGCGTTGGGCGAAAATCCGGCTTTTTAGAATTTTGATTGGTAATAGCAAAAATATGGTTCATTATGCTTTAAAAAAGTCTGTGTAAAATTTTCGAATTTTTTGGTCAATATACAGGCTCGCCCAAGGCCACCAAAGTTCAATATGCTCAAAAAATAAAAATTTATAAATAAATTAATTAATACATTTTTTTACTAAAATTGCAATAATCTTCGAAAGTATTAGTCCTACATAATTTGGTATATGGACCTTTTTTGTAGAGAATCGAAGTTAGCTAAGAAAAAATTTTTTTTAGTACTTGAACTTTGATGGACTTGGGCGAGCCTAGGATATTGACCAAAAAATTCCAAATTTCACATAGATTTTTTGGAAAGCATAATAAACCATATTTTCGCTATTACCAATCAAAATTCTAAAAAAGCGGATTTTCGGCCCACGCTAATATGCATAGTATAGTCAATGTGGAACGATTTAATAGCCAGCACACCAAAAAATCAAACCTAGAACACTAATCGGTTCGCGACACTTTAGGGAGAAGAAATTCTCTACATAATTGCAATGAAAAGTACTACGCTGCGACTGTTCACTTTCCCGTAGTCGATTGGTAAATGCAGTGATTTTTTTTTTATCGTATGCACTGTATTTCTATAGACAGCATAAAAAATGCGAGTTTGAAGTAGCAAAAAACTGCTGCTGATTTTTGCGAGTCTTATCGCTGAGGGTTTTCAATGAAAATTTTTGCATTTTCCGCAAGCCCTTATGAAACTAAAAAATTGTTTCTTATGGTTTTCGCTGTTCAATGAACTATGTGTTTTTGTTTTAAATAAGAACAAATTTGTGTGGAAAATATAAATAAATAAATAAAATCGTCAAAGCGTCGGAGTATGCATATTTTTGATGTTGACTGTATATTTATGTGCAGATAATAAACTTTAAAATTTATAGGTTATCATGGCTGCCCTCATTCAACCAGTGCACGGACTTCGAAAAAATCAATAGTGGTAGATTTTACGTACGAAAAATAGTCGAATTCGGTCTAATCTTTTTAAAGAAGCCACTAACATAGCTTTCACTCATACATATATACGGCGATCATCCGTCCTGTATTATACGGGACAGTCCTCTTTTTATTACCTTACTTTTTTTACCTTCTTTTTATTAACTCGGGATGTAACTATGTAATATTGATGCGCCTAAAAGATGCAGCGATTCCTATTCTCAAGTTACATACCTGATGACAGTACGAATGGCAATTATAATAGGGAGGTTTTAGTTTTTTAAACTATAATTTTTTATGTATTTCATATGGGACGCCAAATGTTCTGTAGTTCTTTTAAATTCCCGTATTTGTCCCGTATTATTTTTTGTTGTTTTAAATAAATGTGGTTGTAGTTTTTATTAATAAAACTATGCTTTATTATTAGTTTATATTACAACTTCAACACTCTTAAAAACAAATTGGCAGAACCAAGTATATTTTAGCTCACAGGTTCTCTTTTAAGTCACCTACGCCTCTAAGACGTACTATTGGGCTTTACGATTTTTTCCAGTAGATCGGGCTTCTATGGTTAAAAGCTCATACCAATGAACCTGCTTTTATTCTTAAATCTGGACGCTTTAAATTCAAATCTAGGGGCACATATGTTTTTATGGACGTCATAATTTGTTTGAAAAACGCCATACCTCAGAATTTGGTTTAGAAATGCCCTATCTCAGCTGAAAATACATTGAAAAATGTGCTGAGATAGGGCGTTTTTGAATCGAATTCTGAGATAGATTATTCTTCAATAAAACTCTGAAATAGGGCGTTCTTGAAAAGTTTTCTGAGATAGAGCGTTTTCGAACTGGATGCCGTGATAGGTTGATCTTCCAATCAGGTGTCGATATATTCTGCTGTCACAAGAGTTCGAAAAATATATGCCAAATAAATACGCTGTTTCAGAGCTAATAAATTTAATGGGAAAAAGGTTGTGGATATATTTCGACTCACGTACGTACAGGGCAAATATGAACGAAATCGCACTATAAATGCGGGCTTTTCACATATCAAATATAGGATTATGTTATTATTTCTATTGAATTGTTAGGAGAACCAAACGTGTGTGCCAAATTTTAACGCGATAGCTTCAGTGGAATTGAGTGAAATATTGATTGCAAAAATCCAAAACATAAAAGCAAAGTTTAATGAAAGCTCGTAAAAATGCAGTTATAGATTGAAGTTGAATTTTCTGATGTCCTTACTTAATTTAATTAAAATTTGTTCAAAGTTTGCACGTTTTGGGCAGAACTTTTTTTGTTTTTTAAATTTCCGAAATGAGAATAATTTACTTCATTTTCTCAAAATGAGTATGATTTTCCATGGACGTCTCACTCGCTTCGAATAAGTACTACTTAAGGTGAAGTGGAAGAAAATTAGAATTTATGTACATAAATATACTTCTTCTTGTATTATTGCGTTCTATTTTATTTGGTATTATTTCTTTCAGGCTTTGTTCCTAATTTTGATATCGCATGCCTTAAGTACACACCCACGTATGTATGTAATATATGGACAAAACGTTAAGTCAGTCAGTGATAGCTTAATACAAAGACGTGATCAAGTAGCAATACACACAGTGGGGCTAAAATATGGCCGTGATTTTAAGAGCCCAAATATGAACTGAGCTGAAATAATTGAAAGATAATAAAATTTCACGTTGAACTTAAATCGGTAATTTTTTAAACAAGCTCAAGTTATTTATTAATTTTTGTTGCTACCACCTTTGGGAAGCACGTGAAATTAATCCCGAATGTCTGCAATTATATTAAAAAATATTCATAAATATTTTTTTTGTAAGATAGTCGATTCATGTTTTAGAATTTTAAAAAATATTCATAAATATTTTGTTTTTGTAAGATAGTTGATTGAAATTTTTTTTTTAATTTGTATTAACAAATATTTAAACAAATTTGTATTTTTTTAATTGAGAGTTTAATCACTCACTGGCAAAAATATTTCATGGAATCAGGCGGAAGAAAAATGGTTTTGTATTGAAAAAATATCGTAGTACTACCCTCCGGTTAATCATTTTCCTACATAATCGATTATTATAAACTAAGTGATTAATTTTTTCATATGAATTGAGAGTGGAAAGTTTTGTTACTCATACGCCATGTATGCCCGGTTTTCATCAAACTTATGTCGTTTTCGTTTCTACCGAAAAATGTTGCCTTCTACGCACAAATACTAAGAAGAGGGCAGTGAAGAAGCAATGTTGCGTTGTAGAAACGAAAACGCCATTAATAAGAAAATAGGTGCAGCGTAGTAGGTACTTCCCAGTAAAATAAATTAGATAATCCCTTTTGTTAATAAAAAAAAAAAATTAGCTCTTGTTCGAATAGTTGTTAATAGCAAATTCAATAAATTTTTTAATCTACTCTATGCTATGGAAAATTTTTTATGAATAATTTGGGATTAATTTCAAGTACTTCACAAAAGAGTATTAGCATTCAAACATACACATTTTTCGCTCTCGCTTTTTCAATATAAATTAATAAAAAGTAAAAGCTTATTTCAAAAATCGCCAATGATAGTTCGATGCGAAATTTCATTGTCTTTCATTAAAAAATGGTAACTTAAAACCTTATTAACCTCTAATAATCAATTAGTCCACGGCCATCTTTTTTTGTCCTACTGTGATACGCCCGACTGTAAGTTAGGGAAGAAGTATAAGGCCATTTAGTAATAGGTATATGTAATTAATTGAAGCCAACAAAATGTTATCTCAATTAGTTAATTATTTTACACAGCGGTTGGACATTGCATCAATATGTACAACAGGCGAATGAAGTTTTGCATGAACAAACACACTTGTGCTTTAACTATTTATATAATATTGTTTACTTGCAAAATTTGCTCTTTACTGAGTCAGCAGTTTGTCATATGCAGAAATGTGATTTAAAATTGGATAATATTAAAAACATACTATGTCAAACGGCTGCACGGATTTAGAAGAAATACGAAGCTCGAATCGCTAATACCTTACTAATATTTGGAATAGTTTGTAGGTTTTTGAAATTCTATCTTGGGCGTTTTAACGGCGTATAGGTTCACTAGTTGATTTTTAAGTTAAAGCTATACCTATTTTTACCAACCATATTGTAATTTTGGTCACGATTTCTGACTAACAGAAAGTATTATTGTAGAGAAAATATGCAAAATAAAACCGGTTGAACCGGTTTTTTCCTTAATTTTTATAAGCTGCCATTTTCGAACAACTTGAAAACTGTATTTTTTTTCAAAAAGGCAAACCATGGAACACCTTAGTTAGCAGCCAAATTGAAATGAATATGGAGGGTAATACTATGCAAAGAATAGCTAAAAAGGAATTTTAAATAAAAAGTGTTGCCACTCCAGCTAACTCGTACTTTCTGCCAGAGGTTTGAAACATAGATGGCACGGTAGTGTCATCCGATTCGCAATAGATGTTAAAATAAAAATTTAAATGAGAAATCCTTTTCGCAAGAGTCACACATTGGACCTCCTTATTTCTACTCAATGAGCTAATGTCGAGAACCATTCACTTGAAAGCTAGTTCCACGCCAGTTCTGAACCACTGAAAACTACTACCTGGTATTTAGAACCATACATACCTATTTTTATATAAAATACTAGAAAATATACGGCTTCCCTCACTGCGCCTTAAAAATATTTTTTGAGATGTTACTCCCTCCCAAAAATCTCGTATGGACTCATTCATAAAAAAAAAAATGAAAAAACGTATTTTATAGAGCTTCATGAAGTGATACTTTCAAACAAATTTTCGAGTTTTCAATAATTCTTTATTTTTTATATTTGTGGGTATAAGGTAATCTATATTTGAAGGTATTTAGAAAATTTTTAAAGTATCGACTTTCTCCCGAAAATTTAATTTGTAATCATATAACTCGAGTTTGATATCGCGCACTTTCTTCAAAGCTGTGTTAGTTCAATATTTCATTTATCTTATAAATTTAACTGAATAAAATTTTTTAACTAGGTGGCAACCCCTTTCAGTAATATTTTTGACAGTAGACTTTCCGAAACCTCTTTAGTTTCATCACCATATTGCAATGCTTAGTTTATCTTATTAATTAAACTGAATTAGCTTTTTCAACCAGGTGGCAACCTTATACAAACATATTTTAAGTTGTAAACCTTCTTAAACCTCTTTCTTTTGACAGTTTCATTTCAATATTTGCTATATCTTATCAATTTATTTAAACTGCAATTTGCAAACAGGTGGAAACTCTCAAAATTGTTTTTCTATGTTTTAAGTTAGACCTCTAGCAACATATCGGTGAAATCAGCATTCAATTCCATGCATAAGTTTTTGATTGATGCGCGTACAAACATACTGACAAACATACTTGCATCGTGAATAAAAGGAAAATGCGGTTGTGTTTACATAGTAATGCACTTAGGTATGTACGTAGCAACTCTGTTACGTGTGAGGCAAAGTTTCTTCAAAGTTTTGGCGCATTTCATATCTACTGTTAGCATCTACATATGTAGCTCGCGCAAAATTTTTGATTGAAATTTATATGCAGAATTTTGCACATCATGTTAAAGTGGTTCAGTTTTATATGCGGCCAAATAGAATTATCAAAGTTTATTGAATTATAAGCTATATGTTTGTAGGTATGTACATAGGTAGGAAGGTGCATACAAGCAATGGCCCATTTGGACCTAAAGTGGATGGTCCATTTTGATACCCCGACTAAAAAACTTTCACTCCCCACTCCTCGACAAGCTTGGACTTGATCATTAAATTCGTGAGGGTACTGATGGCCACTTGGCTGCCAAGTCCCTTTCCAACCACTTTTAAAGGTTTATTCTGACACGGAGCGAGATTCCTAGAATCATCGAGAAAAACAGCAGTCCATCTTCTGATTTCACTAAAGTTAGTCTTGAAGCTTTCGGCGAGCTATTCGCAGTCACAACTTTCTTGTGGCTGCCACTGCTTGATCAAATATATGGAACAGGTTCAACCTTACAAGGAGTTCGTTCTTATACATATGTATAGTACATATTCAGGCGTATCCCGAAATTTAAGCGTATGTTGGGAAAAATTTTTGGTGTCCATTTTTTTTTTTTTGGCTCCCATTAAAAACCAATAAATCTTTGCTATAACTTTCTTATTTATTTAATAACAAATTTTTTAAATCTTTTGCCATCGAAAGGGACTTGGCCTTAAAAACCGTAAAAACACTATCCCTAGTTTTTTTATTTTAGTACTAAAAATCTGAAGCTGTTAAGATATTATGAGGACTTTGTTAAAAAATGTAAAAGCGATCATAGCTGTAAAATAAAATTTGTTAACCAAGAATCTATTTAGCTATTTAGTTCCAAAGCGGCGTAAAATTGTAGATCCCTGTCCGGTGCACTGAAATAACGCCTGCGGGCTTTATTCCCTTGCGAAAGGCCTTTTTACTTTGCGAAAGGGCAATTGATAAACAAAGCTAATAAATCCCATGGGTGTTATTTTCTCTGGCTCTAATTTACTGAACCATATCACATATAATTTTGTATTAAAATCTGCAAGCAAAAATTTGCATAAAAACTGAATTATATTTTAAAACGAATCACATTATTTTTGTATACAAATTCTTTCGCCTTATAAAAAATTATGCATATCCACGGTTGCGTCAGCCATAGTAGGTAGTTCAGCGTCCAATTCTCTTCTGCAGTATACGCATAAAATAGAACGGTATTTTTGGTCAATCACTGATAAGCAAATTACTAAAAATTAAATGTAAATTGCTATGGTTTTTAGCCTCCAATACAATGGAAATATTTGCGCTCAGCTTAGACGCTGCTGGATGACGCGAACGCAAACTGCCGCGTTTGAGTGCCACCAGGCTCGCATCCCTCACTCTCGCGGTTATTTATTTGTTTATATACTCACATAATTTAAATGTTCTATATGTATGTACGATGAGGAGTTGGTCATTTGTGTACCCACGCACAGTGCGGCCGAAAGCCAAAAGTGCGACGAAAATTCGAAGCTTTGAATCCGCTGTCAGAATTGCAAAATTCAAAATGGTGGGACCGGAAAAAAATCATATTATATCCTCTAAAACGTTATATTCAAAGTTTATATTTAAAAAAAAATCGATTTGATTTAGAAAATCTACGTACTTATTTACTTTTAATTAGGTTGAAATTTTTTATGATTAGGGTTTTCACAGTTTACTTTTAAACTTTAACAAGATAACGCACTCGAACTGTGAGCAAGCTTTCACACATGTATTTCAAATTGTCAATAAAACAAATATCGTCAGATATATATTTAAAAATCTTTCAACTTGCGCCCACGTTATGTTTTTATGCTTCACTTTCCATTTTTTTCTTAGCGCGAATAATTAACTGATCAGAGATGCCAGTTTAACACAAAACAAAAACATGAGACAAAGTCGAGTAATTTTGCCCAAAAGCGTTATCTCTAATTAGTATGGCAACCAACAACAAACAACGTTGCCACATGGTAAAATGTTTTAAAGTTACAAAATTAATACAGTAGATAATATAGAACTGTGAACACCCTAGATATTTCCGAAGGTATGATGAAGTCTTTAAAGTTTCATCTTTCAAATTCGACCTTATTTTATTGCACAATCAGGAACTTTTGAATTTGGTGATTATGCATAGTTTCGTAGGTATATGGTCAAAATACTGCAATGTTTTATCCGATCTGAAACAATACCCCCTCGCTGTGATCCCAAAACTAGCTAAAATATCTGTGATTCTCAACTATTCAAACTTAACTAAGCTTTCCTGTTTTTCTGCGTAACTTTTTTACCCTTTGATATTTGAAAATGGCGTTACAGCAATATATTCTATATAACATACTCTTGAAAATTACACCAGACTGAATGTATGCATCTAATAAAACCATCACGTTTACGTTGCCTTGCCCCGACTATCGCATTTCTTGGATGGCGATGATGTTAGCTTTTGTATTCCCGAGGACATCAACCAACCCGTCAGTGGCACCTTGCCCATTAAGGGTGCAGATATTTCAGGTGTACACCCCCAAATCATAGTCCTTTATACGTTTGCCGTGGTCGATATCAGAAGAAGGGTGTCTTATCCGAGGCTGGTTGTCATTTTTAATAGGGCCCCCAAATGGGTCTTTGGTCGCTACCCAGAGGATACTTAGATATAAATATGTGGGCGTCGTGAGCTACGACTTCAGTGCAACGCTAATGCACACACTGTGCCATTAAGTCAATGTATCAATATCCCTATTATTAAGTGCACTCTGTATTCACTAGTTTTTTCTGCTTGCTTCTACTTTTTTCATTCTGATCTTTTGTTTTTTATACCATTTATTGTTGCAGAGATGAATGGAAATATTTGTACGACTTGAATATAAAATGCAATCGTGCCTCGCTGAATCGCCTGTCCAGTCGATTGCACAAGCACAGTGGCAAGCATCAGCGTAGGCGTGCACGTCTAAGTTCACCGCAAACACATCGACGCACATGTAGTGAAAACAACAACCACAGCATTAGTAGCCTTACCCCGTATGATATTGAACGTAACTGGAAGCGCAAAGGCAATTCTTTTGGCGGCAGTAGTGCAGGCAACGGTATTTACAACATCGATGGTGGCAGCAGCATAATCGAAAGATTAAAATTCAAATACAGAAATCTCAACACACTACAGCAGAAGTATGCAGCATCAGCATCAACATTTTACCCACCATTAGACGATGTATCAGCGGCGACAACTATGACGTCGATCACCACCATAAACGATAGCGCACCACCGCCACCACCCACACCATTGCAATCCCCACCCTCCATGGCTGCCGACAACAAATCCTATGGTTACGATGAAATCTGCAGCATCACATGCGAGCGTCATTCAGCGTTTGGCGTTGATATGGATGTTGATTGCAAAAATGCAATGCCACAAAGTGAGATCGACGGCATTGAGCAGCGGCAAAAGCGACGCCACTGCATCTATCTCAAAAACTTTGAGTATCAGCCAACAACTTCGATAACTACAGCCGTAACGCGAACGGCTGTTGACGGTGCAGTTGATAATAAAATCTATTTCAAATTGTTGCCCGAAATGGTGAGCGAAGCAGCTTTGCGGCAACGACAATGGCAGCGACGCCATGCACGTGCTGCTGCACGCAATCGAAGATTGGCATTAGAGGAGACGCAGCTTCAAACTAGTACAACAACGACTGTAATGGGCACTACAAATGCAGCCAATGATAACAACGATACGTTAAGAGCAAGCGTGCGACGAGAACCATTAAGTGCCGCTGACCTCTTGGACATAGCGCGGCAGGTTGCCGCCGGCATGGTGAGTGATTTATTAAGGCTCTGTTATGCATGCATACTTTGCACTGTTATACCATTTTTACGTAAAAATCAAAACCCAACGGAATTCTACATGTGAAGTGCTATGCGTTGGGTAATCGCTTACACGCGAAGCTCATTTAACAGATTCCTTTTGTGACAACTCTCATGCAACGCTAAGTATGCATAACTGAGCTATTAGTCGAGAACACGTTGAGATGGTGAGATAGGTTGATTAAATAGTGCAAGAAATGAAGGGGGAATGGCAGCTCTCATCTTTCCGATAAATTTATGTTGGCAAGTTGTCTTACTTTCAATCTACAGTCACCAAATTAAAAAGTTTGTAATTGCTGAGTATTTCATATACACTGGCGGCAGAAATAATATACTCGTCGTACCTTTAATATTAATAATAATTTTTTATAAAAGCCTAGGTAGTGAAATAAATCCATATAAATCCACTTTTCAAAGTTTGAACAAAAATCATAAAAAATCGACGAATTTTCACCAAATTTTCAAACTTCTTATTCAGTACTTTTAGAAAAATTTTTGGTATGCAGTCTTGTAGACCATTGGTTAGTAAAGTGCAAGTTTCAATTGGCTACAAAATACCGTTGATTTTAAAGAATTCTTTTTGCTGACAGCGTCACGAAATTTTTCCCATACAACGTGTGCTCGACAAGTTTTTCATATATGGAACAGAATGCCTAGCATCGCCAACAAAAAAAAAATTGTCAAAACTCAACGGTATTTTCTAGCCACTTGAAACTTGCACTTTATTACACTAAAATTGAGTAGGCTTCAAAACCGCATACGAAAATTTTGTCTAAAAGTTCTGAATAAAAAGTTTAAAAATTTGGTGAAAATTTGTCGAATTTTAATAATTTTTTATAAAGTTTGAGAAGGGGATTCATATAGTGTTTGATACATAACTAGCCAGGCTTTTATAATAAAAAATATTAAACATAAAATAAACCATGGAAATATAGCCAAAACTCTTCAAAGTAAGATGAGTCTATTATTTCTGCCGCCAGTGTATATGCACTTTTTTTGGTATAGATCAATCCTAGGGGCTGGCGGCATTATAAATGCGACCTTATTTTTTTTATATACATTTTTGGATCACTTTAGTGTACATATATGTACATACAAAGTTTGAAATGTAGATTTGTAAGGTGTTTCTTATAGAATGAACTATATTTTCATAAGAAAATAATTGAAGTTAAATAATGTGAAAATAAATAGTCAAAACTTGTTAATATGTGGCGGTCTTAAAATTATGCAACTGAGTGTAGCTACATAAGCTCTATTGGGCTAGTGTAATAAAATATACTTTTTAAAATAGCGGTTGATTTTGAAATAAAGCACAACTTTTTTTCTTTTGTGACAAAAAAAATAAAAAATTTCGAAAAAACGTAAACCATTTTCTTAAGTAGGGGCTAATTACTTATGAAGTTTCTGTTGAATGCTCATATCGTTGCCTTAGGCTTTTTGCACATTCTGCAAGTGTTCAGACCTCCATTGAAATGCATGTGTTCGGCTAAAAATTTCAGAGTGAGACGATAACGCAACCATGATTGGACGACAAGTGTGCAAATCGCCTTAGTATAGAAAAACCTTGGGCCTTATTCTGTATCACGAACGATAGGCAAAACGAACGATTCGTCTGCAGGCGACAACCTCTCTGATTGTGATTTTAAACTCTATCGGTCGTCTTCATCTTGCTTTTCATACATTACGTTGCAATGGTCTCGGTTGTGTTTAAACCGACTAAAATGATGCCCCGGACTAATTTTTGAAGCATTCCTCTGCAGACGAATCGTTCGTGTTGCCTATCGTTCGTGATACAGAATCCGTCTGCTTATCTCACCTTTTTT